TGTTATGCCTGCGCTAGTTATTCTTCATATATCTGAGATGTGTAAGTGAGCTACGCTTGCATAATAAATGTAAAACGTTTTTCAAACTTCCAATTAAAAAAAAATCAATTTTTTATGTCACAATTACATTAGGGCTTAGCAACATTTGAAATTCTTTAATTAATCCATTTACGTTAGTTGTTGGTGTACTCTTGATTTAACACTACCAAGAATCGTGTAAAATGAATGAATGAAGTGATGGAGCATTTTTGACAATTTGCACGTGGTTTAGTCAAACTCACATAGTTCACCCAACATTGCTTAACATGCGGCACGTATAAGCATAAGCATAACTAAACCAAAACTCATTAGTTGACGATGTTGCTAAGAGTTTGCTATTCCTTTGAAAAGCTTATGCGAATGTCGTTTATTGTGTTTTGTTTTCCTTTCCTTCACGTAGCAGGTGTGTATGTCAAGATTTACATAAATAAGCACCACACGAGGACATTTGGCAAGCAATTGTTTGGTACGAGAGATGTGGGACCCACATGTGACATCCTCATATACGAAATGAAATTAATTGTATGTTGCGAATGTACGAATCAATGTTGCTGCTACATTCATTCATACATTCATAAAGATTTAATATTTTATTATGTAAAGGTATGAGATACCGATAAATGTTGATTTTAAATTGACCATTACCTAGAGGATGTGCTATATATGCCATGATATTTATTCTCATACACGTTCGTAAGAAGATTAAAAGAAGGAATAAGAGATCGAAGTGCGAGTGTAAAGATTAAATTTGCACTTAATAATATTATGGGAAATTGATTTGTTTGATTAAAATACGCATTTCTTCAATCATAGGTGAATTGCTTACACCTTAGCTTATATTGCAAGTTGAAAGACTCACAGAATATTTTCTGTCGATTGGAAATAGTTTCCCAGAAACATTGCGTCATATGGGTTTTGTCTCTTAAATTCATGACCGACCCCATTATCCTAATCGATATGAATGTGAACAATTGCAACGTCATTCTATGCTCAGCCTTTTTCTTAATCCGCCTAAGTGATCGAGTAGGCAAGGAATTTAGACTCACAACTCAGTGGTCGTGGATTCCAATCTTAAGTGCCAATCTTGAACTTTCAACAAAACCCAGAGTCTTAGATGCTAGTGCTGTAACACTTTAGTCTTTGAATTTATCCTCTGGGTTAATTAATAGTAATTCTAATAATAATCACAGCTTTGTGCTCTTTGTTGATTTTAACACAACATCATTTGGAAATTATTATAAATATCTGAAAATGTTTCATCAATTTTCGTTATCTTTACTCTTCAACGCTCAGGCGAGTGATCCATCTAGACCGTTTAATCAGATTAGAAATAATCACAAGTGCGTATTCTCAAGAAAGTATTTTCAATGTTTGCACACATAACGTTGATAGGTGAAAATTGTCTTAATTTTATGCCTACCATGATATAAAGGAGATGCCGATATTTTTGCAATACCCAGACGGAAGTTCAGGAAGGATATATTTTTGATCAGTTTTAATTTCTGAATTAATTAACGCATGTCCGTCCGTCCGTCCGTCCATCTATCGGTCTATGTAATGTTTGTGGTAGACATATCGATTTCTAGAACAATAAAAGATTGTCTCTTAACGATCCTATGGGACCTAAATAAAAGCGGGTAAAAGAGGCCTTTGAGAGAGCATTGAATCATTTTGCTTGGGCTTTTTTTCTTTTTAATGAGACAATTTACTAAAGTCAATTTTAATTTTTTGCGAAAAGAGTCACTTTGATATGAAAATTTATGCGATTCTCATGAATGTTTTCCATAGTATTCAGAGCACATATTTTAAATAACCGGTTTTGTTTTTTAAACTTTTTTTCAGGTGTGATTCTGTAAAGATCCCGTACATTGTCGGAAGTGGAACGAGAATTATATTCGGCAGTAGTGCGAGATTTAAGAATACACGAGTGAAAGTCAATAGTAAACTAAGTCTGTGCGATTTTCTTTCGTCCTTCGTCAACGACTGACTATAAATAGTAGGAAGGAACAATAAAAAGATATGAAGAAAAGATATGAAGAATCAAATGTGCATTTGAACGATCCCTTTTCCGTCCAAATGTCCATCGAATGACTATAATAGGAAGGAAGAAAAAATACGTATTTGAAGTATTTCGCCGTGCTATGCCTATGCTTTTTGAAATTTTATTGTATGATAACAACTAATGTGTGTCATTAAAAAGTTTTTACCTAAACCAGATTTAATGATATGCTTTTTTGGAATTTTTTATAACAATTTTTTTAACCATTTTTTAATTCCAAGCAATCGAAATTGCAATGAAAGCGTCATTTGCATTGTGGGCTTGAAAAATTTTATACGAATCTTGGTTTGGTTTTTATTTCGAAATTCATTGTTATTCAATTTTTGCGGAATGCGCAGCGCCATTTACCAGACCTTTAAATTATGTATGACAACAAACAGTAACACAATAACGACCGCAAACAACAACCGAAAATGTTACAACTCTAACATGCAATAAAGAGCAAAGCAGAGACATGGCTAACACGATTTATATATATGTCGAACCAGTGTTCCTAAAAAAAAAAAAAATAGATGATTACGGGCGTTTTATACTCTCCCAGTTGCTCTCCCACAGTTGCTTTGCGTAAGAAAGAAATGTGTTTTAATATTAGATACCAAACCAGTACGTACGTACATAAATGTAGTCAATTCAATCTTAAAGACTGACTGACTGACTGACTGACTGACTGACTGCATCTTTGATTTATGCATTATAGTCCCTCCCCTCGATACGGCATTGATACAATACATACATTTTATGATGTTTATACACGTTTTGTTTCATTTTGTTTTTGTTTTTGTTTTTATGTGTTTTTTTTTTTTGCTGTTTTCTCTTATACGGACATATTTTGTTTTTGGCCAGCAATTCAAGTGCTTGTTGTAGTATTCCCAAAATTTTTTGAAAAATTTGCATAATTGTTGCTATATATATATATATATATATATATATATGTATATATTGCTTTCAGTATTTCTCACTCCTTACACATTATATACTACAAATGTTTACATATACATATACATACATATATATATGCACGAATGCATGTATATACGTCGCTAGTAGTTTACGGTCTAAAGTTTGTTCACGTTGAGTGAAAGACATGTGAATCGAAAGTAACCGTTTCTCCTCCTTTTGGCCAATGAATGCAAATCCACACTCATACAGACAGAGCAACTTCTAACATTATAAATAATGCTTTTACTTATTTTCTCTATATACATATATGTATATATGCATGTACACATCACTCACATTGTATATAATTTGTTGTTCATTGCTATTATATGTGTGTGTGTGTGTGTGTGTTCGGATAGATAACTCTGTTTTGCATACTTTTACGTATGAAAATTTAAAAGTTTCATGCAATACATTGTCGACACCAAAAATTACACATGTAAATTGCAAATTGCTAAAAATACTATTGCTGCCGGTCACTGTTGTTACCCATTGTATGGTATATTTAGTTAATTTAACCACAAAATAGACTATTACGTGTATATGTATGTGCACGCAGCTGTCTAAGTGTACCTATACCAAGCGTATATATTAGCATATCTGAAGTGTGGTTAACACTACATTATTATTGTGCATTCTTTTTTTCTATTTACAGAAAATACTCAGTCAGTCAGTGTGTGTGTGTGTGTGTGTGTGTTGTGTGTAAATTTGAAATTTTTAAAGAAACTTGGGTTTTTGTTACCGTTACATTGCACCTTGAATATGTACACGTTCTAGCGGGGAAACATACTAAGACTGTGATTACGCTAATAATAATACAAATGATTTGACTTCAGAGAAGTTCTATATATGATATTAATTTATATGAAATATTTAGTAGTTTTGATTACCATGCAGCACCCATTCACCAGTTAGTTACTGGATACTGCTAAGTCGCATAATCTACAACAAGAGCCAGACAGTTTGTTCAAATATTCCATGTTATATAATATACATGGAAGAAAGTGGCCAATGATGGTCCGATACTCGGAAATATTGTTAGCGAAAACTTAACTATGGCAGGCATTAATGCAGATTTTAGAACAAGTCACAAGCGCATTTCAAAAGCTTGAAAAGAATATGCTTAGATATATGTATTGGACAGCGTGACAGCCATTGTCGAATTTCATCGCTAGTGCATGATTCTATTTTTATACCGGAGCATATGTTTTTTTGAAATGTAATATGCAATGAAAAAAAAAATTTATGTTCAAAGTTCAGAAAAGTGACTTGGTGGACTTGGTCACTGCTTGGTAAGATCTTAATCTTAAAGATTCCATCTAAGGCAAATATAACTTTCTCACTTTAATACTCTACAATTGCAGCTGGGCGAGATGCGCCAGGCTAAAGTTGGGAATACAAACTAATGCATAAAATCTATCTCAATTTGATTAAAGATCTGCTTCAGCAGAGGAGATCTCAGGCTTTTGCAAGCCTGGCGTTAATTGAGACTATCTATATGTTATAAGATCTTTTATAAATGTTTGTCAAGGTCATAAACGAATTCACGTTCACATTATTTGCAGTATATTCAGTATACTGTTATCGTTAATTGAAAAAATTTTTTTCGAGTTAAATATTTTAACAGATGTGTTTACGTCCGACACAAAATCAGATGAAAAGAAAAAAAATTAATTAAATTGTTGAGTTCTAAAATAATTGCTTATAAGTGATGCTCTTGTATTATGTTAATCTACGTATATATATATATATATATATATGTATATCACAAGTCTCCGAATAAAGTCATTTCATTAGATTCGTGCAAACAAATATTGTTTGTTATGTAGAAAATTTTATATGACAAGGAAAAGCTACAATTAAAATTTATGATTGGCATTTTACCTAAATTGTGCAAATATTATATAAAGGAGTACACAAGTGTTAAACACTCATTAACACCGCATAGACACAGTTGAAAAATAACAATTTCAAAGAATTTTGATAAGAGAAGGCGACTCGGCCGGTCAAGACAATAATAATGCTTTTAAAGTGTGATTGGTTGCTTTTAATTTTCTTAACTAAGTTATCACTACTAATACGAATTCATTCGACACCTCTACGACGTGACAATAATGTAAGTTTTTCAATAATAAAAAATTGGAATTAATCTGCTAAGTCTGCTAAACATACATTAATTAATTTTCCTTTAAATAGTATCCACCAAAGGAACTTATAACGGGAGCTAAACCACTACATGAGAAATGTGTAAAAGAAACTGGAGTAACGGAAGGTAATGTGTTTATAATAAAGTGTGCTTTTAAAAGTTTTGCACACACTTGATGGATAAGGTATTCTCACATATGCAGGACATCAAGAACGCGACATCTCGGTAAATTATCATAGGAATCATTATACTTAAGTCCGCATGAGAAGGTTATCTTGAGAGCAAACTTTTAAGCATGGTGTAGAAGCGGAAGGGACCCAAATTTTTAACGCGTCTTAGAACCTAAACAATGTCGTCATTTAGTTTTCAATAACTTGTGATTTTAACTCTAGGCAGCTTTTAATAATGATAAATATTGGGTTTCATGATGCACTAGATATGTTTAAAATATTGCAGAGGATGATGGCGGTTGATTTTATTGCCAATTTTTTTTTTTTCTTGTAATTAAAACAAAATTGTTTCCACCACTACCTGTATCCTGTCAATATGACGACCTTACAATGTAGCAAAGCGAAAAGGAAAATTTCCATCTTACAATCTCCGCATTTTGCAAATTGATTTTATGCTTATCTGTATTTTGTTTCGCAGAGGCAATCAAAGAATTTAGTGATGGAGAAGTACACGAAGATGAAGCCTTAAAATGTTATATGAATTGCTTTTTTCACGAGTTGGGCGCAGTTGATGATAAGGGTGATGTTCATTTGGAAACTTTAAATTTAATTATGCCAGGATCGTTTGTAGATGCCATACTAAAACCAGCTCAACATTGCATTCATCCAGAGGGCGATACCTTGTGTCATAAAGCCTGGTGGTTCCATCAATGTTGGAAGAAAGCCGATCCAGAGGTATTTTAATTTAGTACAAAAATCATTATAATTATTTAAAAAAAAATATTACTCTTCTTCCAGCATTACTTTCTTTTGTAAGATAATCATTTTGTGTGGGAATGACACCTAAAGAAATTGTGATTGAAATTTTTATAAAATTCTGGACTGATTTTAATCTAAATTGAACATATATTTAAATTTATACTACTCGATGTTATCTGCGGAATTTTTAATAATATCATAAAGAAATTTAATAAATTTAAAATGTATTCCAGGGATGTATTAAAACTCTTTATAATTCGCTTAAAAATTTGTAAAATGACTATTACAACAACTATTATAACAACTTCTTCAAGATTGTCCTTCTTCGGCCATGGACACAAAAAATAAAAAAATCATAGGCGCTTTAGTTCGTTCATTAGCATCCGATCAGATACTTTTGTGAAATATATGTATATATATATATATATATATATATTTGTGATATAGGATTTATTCACGTTTATAGTATATATCAGCAAATTGAAATATTTCGTTCATCGTCGACGGACATACACACAACAAATATTTAATTGTCCTTTGTAAGGAAAAATTGTAGGGAATCTTAGCTTAATATCTACTCGATACCGTTAACATTTTCATGTCGTCGATGCGTCCGACCGCATTTCTTGAATCTCAAATAATTACTTAAAACTGTAAACACCAGCATGAGCCAAACTTTCGATGAAAGGTAGGCGGACAGATGGACTGACACGACTTAATCGACTAAAAATTTAACGTTAATCACATATTTGTCTGTCTTTGAACGGAAATTCGACATTCCTGTCATTATCTTTCGATATATATATATATGTAAAACGCGTTATTATGTGATTCTTCAATACACGATACGATACGATAATTAAATAGCAAAGTTTTAATACAATTGAATCGAATGTGCTTTGTCTGAAAAATATAACTTAATACAAAAATTTTTAATTACATGTTGCAAGTATCGTGTTACAAATTTTTTTTTTTTTTTGCATAAAGAGAACGTAGAATAAAGAAAGGCATATATTGTACTTAAGGCGAATTTTGTATACCCATCATCGGCAAAAGGGCTTTGATTACATTCTGCGAGTCATCAAAATCATTATAATTATAATAAAATGTTGGAAATTTGCATTTTCTTCCGTAGGAGTGTTTTAGTGTTTATAAGTATTTCCAATAAATTACTTATATTTGAAACATTGAACTTGATGAAAGAATATCGACAATAGTTACTCGGACGGACGGACATTAGAATACTGTTGAAGGGTCTGGGAATCAGTTTATATACAAAGAGGTTAGAGTTAAAAAACAAAAAAAAAAAAAAAAAAAAATATTTCACCGAATTATTGTTTATTTAGTCTGGCTAGCAGCTTAATAATGGATAAAAAAAAAATAAAATATCCTTTAAGGATACTCTGATATTTTTACTCTTTATAGAGTTACAAACGAAATGATAAAATTGCTACACCCTACCCTTAGATGATAGGTATAAAAACATGAACTGTTCGTTTAAATATTCATTATCGCAATCCATATAGGTACGAAAAGCAAGAAAAAAAAAAAACTTTATATTAATATTTTCGCATTCTTCGAAAAAAACGTAATATTAAATTTTTAAAAGGAGAAAAAGGAAAAAAAAAAATATTTGAAAAACTTTTTTTGATTGCGAACAATTGATGATAGCAAGCAATGATTGTTAAGTGTAAATTTAATTGTGAAATGATTTTTGTTATTCTCTTAATTATCCTGTTGCTGATAAGAATTCAGGCACAATCACCCAAACGGGACAATAAAGTAGGTACAAATTAAATAGAAATTGTTTAAAAACGAGAAAAAAGAGAAAGTAAAGACCATTTTTTTTTTTTGTGTTATAGTATCCACCAAAGGAACTCATTACAATGGCTAAACCGTTTCATGAAGCATGTGTAAAGCAAACTGGAGTAACGGAAGGTAATTTATTTCTTTATTGTTAAAGTTTCGATCGTAAATAAAAAATGAAAATGATAATAATCTTGCATGGTATGCCAGTCGAGTTATTGCGTTTGCAACAGAAAAACAAAAATGTCATAAGTTAGATGTAGCCTTAGTTTATGAAGGATCGGCACATGTCAGTCAGTTGGTTGGTCAGTTTTCATGCGTTTTGCACAAAGTAATAGAGAAAGTTAAAGAATTTTACAAGTACAGTAGACTCATCCGTCCGTCCGTCCATCTCGATTTGTTCCATGTTGCACGAGTCATTTAGGTTATGCAAATTCAACGCGAAACTTATGAAAAGAAATTGAAATTTATGACTATCAGGAGACCATCCATCTATTAAAATATTTTTTATTTGTTGCAAAAAGACTCTTGATAGGGCAATTGAGTTATGCAGAATTAATAAAATTCTTGTAGGTAAACTTTGAAGGCGACCTCTTTTCATCTTTTATTTTATTGTTTTTTTTTTTTTTTGGTTTTTAGAGGCAATTAAGGAATTCAGCGAAGGAAATATCCATGAAGATGAGGCTTTGAAATGTTATATGAATTGTTTTTTTCATGAATTGGGTTTGGTTGACGATAAGGGCGACGTTCATTTGGAAACTTTACGTCAAAGTATGCCTGGATCTTTTGTTGATCTTATATTAAAACCAGCTCAGCATTGTGTTCATCCAGAAGGTGATACACTCTGCCATAAGGCCTGGTGGTTTCATCAATGCTGGAAAAAAGCCGATCCAGTTGTAAGTAAGTTAATGCAAGATATTTGCCATTTTTTAAAGAAAACTTTTCCTTTTCTCTATTATTGCAGCATTATTTTCTCTTATAAAAATGTTAAACTTATTGTCTTTGTTGTTTTCTGTATAATAAATATTCCCTTCCATAATGAATGTAAAATTTTTGCATGCAAATTTTATGACAAGTGCGTGCATAGTGCCGTCATTTCAACGCACTCCTCCACCACGGTCCATTTTCATAAGAGAGCCATTTCAACTGAATGATTGCTGTCACGAATAGTTTGTCTTTACCTGATTTGTGTTTTTATGTAGAAGTTTGGAAGAGTGAACTCATCTACCAAGTCGACAAGTGCTGTCTGAGAATAAACTAAAACGATACTCAATCAACTTTGAATGGATTTGTCGGTAACAATTGGCCATAGCAGGAAGCACACCTCAAATCCGATATTCAATCTCCAAATGACGAAGTACTTCCTACCCCATATTCAAATCATCTACGGATACTATGTTCTGTGAATAAAGCGACTATCATGTGTATGGCAAACGCAATTCCGTCTGGTGGAGGTGTGCGCACGCATTTGTCACACAACGTGCACAATATCCAGAAAATAAATTTAATAACACTCTACGCTTGTGAATATTTTTTTCCAGCTTCGGTGGTTAGCGTTTTGACTTTGTTTTTAAGGAAGAAAGCCAAAAAGGCTCTCTTTAGCGCTAGGTCTGGCCATTAGTTCTTTTTCTGATCGTTGCATACCAAGTTTTCTTACAGCTATTACTAAGAGAGTGCATCAGGCTAATCGCACATGTAGCTCAGGAGGAAGCATGGTTGCACTTAGAAGAATACACAGCTGAGCCTGCAATTGCAAAGTGTCGACCCAGTTATTAAACGTCCGCCTGAGCAGTCGAGTAGCTAAGAATAGCGACCACCAAGTCAGCGTTCGCCAGACCAAAGTTCAAGTGCGGTATAGTTTTCTTTGCTCGTAGTCACAGTGAGCTCTTAGTCAGTAAAGGTGTAACTCTTATCGATTAAGTCCGCAACGGCTAGGTTGCGGCCCCCACCTTTTACTTTTCTTTATTGCTTCCGACAGTCACCGTGTTACAAAAATAGGAGACATCTACTGAGTGATTGGTTATATTGAAAAAAAAAGTACGAATAGCGACTTGCTTCTAAGGTTAATAGCTAAGCTAAGGAAGTTTATATTCACCTTGCAGCGAATTTCTGACAACCATTATCTCGTAATAATGAAAGCTAAAAGTTGGTAAAATATTTTATTTACCGTACACATGCGGGTTAGCCCTTTGAAACAATCTTATGGCGACGCATTACAATTAAAGTAAGAAATGTGTTCACGTTTTACGTTTCACGTTTTATTTCCATATATCTCCACATATCTCATAAATGGTAAATTAAAGCTTTTCGCTTTCAACGGATTTTTACATATTTCATAGATCGTAAAATGCAATTTTTTTTGGTTTATTATGCCGATCTCTTTAGGAGGTTTTTTAATTGAAATTTGAGTTCTACACCTTTAGGTGGATCAAAGCAAGTTTTGCATTCGTATGTTAATCGTTTGGATTGTAAATTACAGTTTCTTGCCTACTCCAGAGGCTCACAGACAGATTTCTGACTTGTTACCTGTGAGGGTAAATCCCTATAAAACGAGGATAGATGATCACGACGGTTACGCAAACAGGAAAAACTCAATATTTATGACGTCTTGAACATTTCTTTATAGCTAAAGCGATTGTTAATAAATCTAGTATAGAATATCTTGGAGGGATTGGAATGTCTATACCATAGACTGTGCCGCAGATTGCAGTTTCTAGGTTTCTATATTATTAACGAAATTAGTTTTTGCTTTGGGTAAAACTTTGCTTTAACAGATCACTGCTAAATATTTTCGATCGATAATTTGTCGACAATATATTATTTTAAATTTTTAATTAGAAAGTGAGTGGTAAAGAGGAAAAAAAATATTTACAAGTGTAGAGGATTAAACTTAGTCGAATTATATGCAGAGAAGCAGAAAGCATGCGTCTTTACCGTGGTAATGATGTGCAATAATGTGAAACAGATAGTGCCTTGCAAAAAAAAAAAGGTCTCACGATTGTTATTGTTGCATAATTACATTTTCATTTTCATTTCCCTTTTTTTTTTTTTTTTTTTTTTTTCTAATATCAATATTTCAATATACGTCTATTGTTGTTGTTGCGGAAACAACCTTTTGCATGTGCGTGATAATTTTGCAATATTTTTAACAAATAAAGCCGCACGCATTCATTCATTCAAGCAGTGAATAGGCAAAATTTTTGCAAAAATATTTATTTTCACTAAAAACACACACACACACACACACCATTGGACTCATCTTTAAAATTGAAACGAACCTACTACACGCAGTTATCATACGTAAGTAATTAAAAACGGCACAATTTTCGGAAAATGAAGTAAATTGTTTTACTCAACTGTTGTTGTGCTATTATAGTAAAATATTTAAAAAGGTATAAAACAAAAGGAAAAAAAAAAAAAAAAAAAAAAGCAATTTTAATTAAATACTGCCAACGGTGCATTAGCAAGACTAGCAATGCGAAGAACGAATCAATAATAGTGATGTGCACGAGGCTGCAATTAAAATTTGAGCGAAAAAGTAAACAAATAAATAACTGAATGAATCCGATGAATTAAGAAGTTGTGTATAAAAACTCAATTGCATCTCGATTATCTGACAATCTGACATCAGTTTTTACATACTCAAGCGAATCAAATAAAATTAGTAAGTTTTAGTCCTTTTCACCTTACAACGCATCCCATATACGAAATCGGTACGAGAAAGATTGACTTTCATCGAGGCATTGTTGCTGTGTTCATTATTACTGCTCTTGTTATTGTTGTTAGTGTTTTTTGTTTATTTTTTAACCCAATGGTTACAAATTGTTGTTTAATTGTTGTGTTGTGTGTGAATGTATGGAATATTGCCATAGAAATGTCGAAGATTACTAAATTGGATTAAAAAATTGTGTGTAAATATAAAAAGGAAAAAAAAAAGGAAAAAAAAAAAGAAAAACAAAAGAGAAATCGTACAAATAAAGTGAAAAGAATGAAAGAATAGAGGAGAAAGGAGCGAAAGATTGAGATAACAAAACCGTTTCAATATCTTTATTAAATTTTTTAATTGATTTTTTTCTTTCTTTTTGTTTCGTTTTTTATGAAAATAATAAAAGCGTATCCTTAGTGCATGTTTTTAATTCTGTTAGTTTTGCTTTGTTTTTTCTTTTTTTTTATTTTTTTGTCATTGCATATAGATAAAGGGGTCTTCTTTTTTTATTATTCAAACAGTTGAATGAAGTTTTGTCAATGCCAAGTTTTGTTTTTATTTGCAAAAGTAATTTCGGTCGTGAATAAATTTCTCTCTTACTCTGAACCGCGTTAGGTTAAAGAAGATTTGAAAAAAAAATAAATATAAAGGAACTAAATTTTTCACACTCTATAATGTGGAGAGGGCGCGGTTGATTTTTTATATTTTCAAAATAACAGTTTTCATCGCCTAGGTGCATGAGCGTTGTAGGCGTGTCCTTGAAAAAGTTTAGGTCCCTTTCAAATTCTTTTGCAAATTTGTAGGCGATATCTTCATTTTCGCAGATCAACATTAACCATAGATACTATACGGCAGACGGACATGCTTAGGTAAACTCCAGATTTGAAATTGTCCAAGAATTTATATACACGTTATATAGGCAATGAACAAAAATTTAACTTTGACACTATAATATTGGGTGGGCATTGGGTCAATTCTTTCTATTTTCGTACACATAATACAGCATTGCCCATAGAATATACGTTTTTGTGTATTTATCGGCTTTAGTCTATGAGTAATGAGCAAAAAAAACAATTTTTTATTTCTTTTGAAAAGCAAAGGTGTTCTCAGTTTATGGACCAAGGTAGGCGGGTCTTTCAACCCATTTGAATTGTTTTTAAAAACAAATTGCGTGCAAGAATTTCCAATGTTTCTGACAAATTTTAAATCGACTGCTTCATTTTTGTGGTCAAGAAAATGTTTACAATAGACATTGGACAGACGGACAGACAGACTAACTTAAATCGATGCAGTATCTGATGCCAATCAAGAATGTATATACAGTCTATTCCCATGAAGCCGTTTTGACGTTCGCTCGTTGCTTCGCTTATCTACTCGACCGCCTGGCCTCTACTTGTTCGCTTGCTAGCGTGTCCATTACAGGTAGAGCATCCTATGTGTTTCTCATCTTCCATCTGACCATACGTTAATATTCCGATTGTCTATCTGTACATCCGACGTTTATCTGATGGCACGAAATGAGCTACGATTGTGTCTATTACACTCGCGTGAGTAGACGCGAACCGCTTTGCGCACTTATTTGTCCGCTTGTAGGCTTTCTTAGCGCTCCGTTCGATTAAAACGATGGATGAATAAATAATATACACCGTGATTCCTTCTTCTAGCTGAAATCAAAGTAATTTAAGACTCCCTATCTACTACTCTATGGTAAGAGGACATGACATGGGCGTAAAAACTTCACCTTTATGGGAAAATTCCTTTTTTCTTTTGCGTATTTAAAAAACAAAAAAAAAAAAAAAACGAAAATAGAATCGTTTATGCCTTTTCATCTTCTCCTTCTTCTTCTTCTTCTTCTTCTTCTTCTTCTTTACCTTTTTTTCTTTTTTTAAAATTTTGTTGCTGTGCTTTTAAACAAAGTTAGAACAATAAAACACGCGTGCACAGTACGCTATTAAAGAATATTAAGCCATTTGTGTGACGGAAGCAAGGATGACTTTGTCCGGTAAATACCGTTTTTTAACATTGTATACAATGTTAATTGTCCTCTTGTCAGCATGGACTCGTGCACAACAGCCGAGGCGTGATGATGAAGTAAGTATGTGTATATGTAATGTGTATAGTAAGGGTATTGTTAAAAATTGAGATTTCGTAACAAATCATTAAATTGTCGTATCGCTCATTTATAGTATCCACCGCCGGCGATTTTGAAATTGGCAAAGCCTTTTCATGACATATGTGTAGAGCAGACCGGTGTTAAAGAGGGTGAGTATGAATGAATCCGTTTTTGTTTTTCTATTTTTTGTTTTCCTTTTCTTTTTTTTTTTTTTTTGCGATATTATTATGAGAAGTGTTTGTGTGTTTATCGTTCATTTGTTGTTGTTTTTTTTTTTTTTTTTTTTTTTTTGTTTAAAAAAAAGGCTATTAAAAAATTTAGTTATTGAGAAATTCATGAAGATGAAGCTTTGAAATGTTACATGAATTGCTTATTCCATGAGTTTGATGTGGTCGATGACAATGGTGACGTTCACCTTGAAACATTGTTTAGTAAAATTCCTGCAGCTTTACGTGATTTATTGATGGAGGCGTCAAAGGGTTGCGTTCATCCAGAAGGTGATACACTTTGCCATAAGGCCTGGTGGTTCCATCAATGCTGGAAGAAAGCAGATCCTGTCGTACGTTCTAGTCGTTAACACTGTCGAACACTAATTTATAGATCTGTTTGTATTTTTAGCATTACTTTTTGGTTTAAAAGATCGATCATCTACTGCAAACAAAACCGGAAAAATCCTTATGACACAACCGACACACAAAAAAATTTTATCACATTTTTATTTTATATTTTGATTTCCATTAAAGCATAATAATAAATAATTCGAACTTTAGAAGATTTTATTAAATTTAACGAAAAAGCGAAAGCAGGAAGAGTTCAAAAAAAAAAAAAAAAAAAAAAAAAAAAATGAATCGTGCGAGTTGGTTGGTTCGTTCATCTATTGGGCTTTGAATCGAACAATTAATGTGCTCAGTATATTTAGGAAAGTTTCAACTTGTCTTTACGGAGGAATTTCGTGAAGATTGTTTATTGGTGTTATCATTAAAAAAACGTGGTATGGGGTTCCGGAATAGTTGTGGAAGATTTGGAAGCAAACTCAATTTGGCAAAGGTTTTAAGAGCTGGGACTGAAAATAAATATTTTGCAAGAAATTGTAGATAATTTTGTAACGCATTTATAGGTAATAAGGAATTGATTGGTGAAGGACTATAATAGAAGGCACTTATAATACCAGTAGATATTGAAGGCCAAGTAATTGATATACGATACTGTTTTATCATTTTTACGAGTAACGGATGCAATGAGTTCTTTAACTAATCAAAATAAGTTAATAAATCGATCTTAGATCGTCCGTCTGTCCGTCTGTGAATGGCGAACATTGTTCTGGCCGCGAAAATTGAAAAATCATTGTCAATTTCTTATAAAAAGTCAAAGTTTTTGCGCCCAACTTGAGATGAAAAGTGGGCGCGGTACAATCCAAACCAAGGTCACCTCAGTTTCAAAAAAAAAAGTAATTGGAATCTGTTTTCATTATTCATAAAATGCAGAGAAAAATTTTCACGTAGTTGGGTGACTTGCAGCATTTCTACAAGAAAATTGGTTACGCCTACTCAATATTATAGTTTCAGTTAAAATAAACGTGAAACCGATAAAATTTTAATACTTGTTTCTAGTTGCGGATGGTCAAAAAAAATGCTAGCAACTCTTCAGACTGCTATAAGGTTTAGGTTTCTGTTTTGATCGCGTGAATAAATTGATATTACACTTATTTAGAGTTAGGCGTGGTCATGAACCAATTGAGCTTTTTCTTTCTAAAAAGTCGGCCATAGTCGGCAGATTTCAATATGAACACAGACTTAATATGATAATCCGTACTCTCGCTTCTTTTTAATAAAATGTCGATTGAAACGAATGGATCTCCAAAAGAAGAATAACCGAATGCAGCGTACGAAAAGAACTCAGCGCATCCGACTATTCCTTGGTATACATTGTTTCCTCTTAAGAATAACTTTGCTAAACTTTTTCATGCTTTTCAACGCTCGGTTCGCTTGCATGCAGGACAATTGCTGAGATTGCTTGAAGATTTTCCACAGAGACTCCGCCAAATGGAGAAACTTTAAAATCCAAAGATACTACATTGATATTGATTAGGTACAGTCCGAGCAAGGCTAACTCTCTTGCAAATCCCATATAGGAGAACAACCAAATAAGTAGACAAACACCTGAAGTTTTTCGAGATTTTAGATTTCATTAGCTAGTTTTGCTCGTCAACGCAGTTAAAGGGTTTATTAACTTAATATAGAATCGAGTTTCAAAACCTGGAAGAAAAGGCGAATGAAGGGTATACGTCAAGTTACGCGCTGTAGCGTTTTTGTATATATATAACGCAAAGTTGTGCGAACTCTGTATTCTTATCGCTTTTTTAAAAGACATAAATTATAAAACTTTATGCCAGGGGCACATTATATATGTCGGCCTTTTTATGTTATTGGCTAATATCCAAGCCTTAAGAATTTTGGATGAATGCATTTCATAAGGCATAGTTGCAATCTATGCCGGCAGTGAGCCAACCAGCCGACAAACAGCTATAAGCTTCGAAGGTTATAAAATTATTTACGTGCGCTGTTGGAATAAGAAAAAGTAGAGGCAAAGAAAACAACATAAGGCGGACGTACGTTAATATTTCTACACAATATGTTAAATATTGTAGCTGCTTATAATATGCTTAGCAATGCTTACTGATGTCTTCGCTTATTACACAAGATTTAATTATGATTAACGAATGTCGTAGGGAGAGTAATCCCACTATTAAGAAGCGCTAAGCAGAACTGTCTAGCAATTGTTAATTAAAGCAATTAATTAAACTTATAATTTTTCTCTAAATTCCTTCGACACTCTACTGAAGTAGTAGTGGCGGTTAATTATACTTTTTTGTGCAACAATTGTTAGTCACCGATTCCAGTCACCGAAATTGTGGTGTAAGTTGACTTTCGTAGATAAACATATATTGTAGCAATCTATAGTTAGTTCGTATAGTATGTATACCATACTAGAGTCTATTTTAAAAGTTTTACGGTACAAGAATAACTAAAGTTGATACACAGCTTGTACACAACATCCAGAAGGACTGTAGTAAGACAGCCGTCAATCGATACACAATCATTTCCTGAATCGATTTAAGTTTCGCACGTCCATCTGATATCTGCCCATATGTGTGTGTGTGTGTGTGTTCAACACATTTTAATTTTATACGTATGTACACAACATGCAGAAGGCCTTTAGTAAGATCGCCTTTTATTAAACCAATCGATACAGAATCATTTGCTGAATCGATTCAAGCTTCACCATGGCCATCTAAACTCTGCCACTGTGTATGTGAAAACATATATCCCACACCAAAAAAAAAACAAGCGTTTTGTACTTCCAAAGTGAAAAAATTTGTTCCGTCCGTCCGACCTCATTCATCGTATGTCGCTGTAATTTTTGTAGCTTCACTAAAGTCGGCAGAAAGGCTTTTAATTTACTGGGGCAAAGGTCAGGCTGAAGTTAGCAAAAACTTAAAAAAAAATATATATCTACGACCAGCCTACAATGACCGGCATGGAGAGTAAAAGCTTTTGATATATTTCTTCCCATTAGCTAAATTTGAAGATGAGTTTGAACAATGCGCGGATCATTTCGGTCTTCAAACGTGAGAATCTTTAAAGTCTGAGGCTATAATTTGGAAGAGAGGGGACAAACAAAATCACTTCGTTGTACATGAGTTCCTGAGCCTGAATTAGACGATTTGCGAAATTTCTCTGATAATAGAGATAACAGAGGGCAGAAGTTTGCACCTTCAGATAAAAATTTAAGAAAAACTTTTACTTTAAAGTCGATCACGTTTGTTACAATTATTAGTTTTCTTCCTAAAGTGCTCCAGGTAGCATTTGGCTAATTAATTGGTCGATGAAATTGATTGCTTTATAAGATCTAATTGTCGCGTTAATTTTTTCCGAAATGCTAGACGTAGGCAGGTTAGATATTAGTTTTTGTACGATACATATATCAGCCATTGACAAACTGTCGTTCAGGGTATATTAAAGTGCAGAGAGATGGATGCCACTTATGGCACTCTATGTTGTTCTGTTTAAACACAAAAAAAAAACAAAATGCAGTTGGCTTGAGGTAAACCGGCAGAGAGCTTTGAAAGGGCTAGAAAGCGGTTTTTGCAGCGATAAATGTAAGTCCATCCGTCTCCAACTAAAGTAATCCATGAGATGACTTTCAACTTCCAGTTCCAAGCTCTAGTTTTTTTTTTTTTTTAATTTTTTTACTATCAGAACAAGATTTTATTGGAAAAAGAAAACTAAATTTCAAAATATATACGAGATATAAATTTGAAACCCAATCAACGGCTCAAATATTAATTGAAATCTTTAAAATATCGCTCGATTCGACACAGCAGGATACTAATAATAAAAAAAAAATATATATATAAAAAATCTTCTTGAGATTACTTCTGATTGATTACTGTTTTACTTGGTTATTATAAATCAGTAGAAATTTGTTGTTAAAATGTTTTGCTTACGTTCACGGCTGTCAAAAGATTGTTAATCAAATGGTACTTGTTGCTACTTTGCCTTGCTTCGAGTCATAAATTTTCTAAATAAATGAAATTTAAATCACATTATAAATGAAATTTATGTGAAAAGTTTGTTCTTTTTCCCGCCATAGAAAAAAAATTTTTTTTTTTTTTTTTTTTTTTTCTTTCAATTTATATTATAGCAAAGTGCAAAGAAGAGAGCAACCAGAGCAGGCAAAGTCCAATCCAACTGATGTTGAGTTGAGTCGCTTTCCAATACAATTTTCTCTTTTGTTATCCATTTGGCGAAATTTTTTAACTATACTTTCTTTTGATATATGATGAAAGCCTTTGTGCATGCATTCATTTTACTTTTTTATATTTTATCGAACTGCTTCGAAGCGTTATGGAAAACTTATTAAAAGCCTTTGTTTCTTTGCTGGCTGTTTTTTTTTTTTTATAAAAAAACGTAGCATAAAACTGTTAATAATTATTAAAGTTTTAAAAACAAACCAAAGAAATAACCCAAGGATGATGAACAAATCTAAAGTTCTTTTTCAATCCTTTCGTAAAGCAGTGTGAAAAATTTACGCTTAAAAATTAAATTTAAATTTTTTATTTCACATAAAATATTTCTCACTAATAGTGTTACACTGTTTTTAATTAATCCTAAGGTGTACATATTAAGATTTTATCCTTTTTTTTATTATTCTTCGCTCAAACAGTACTCAATATGTATATAACTGTGAATAATACACGAACGAAATCGCTTTAATTTTACACTTTCATTATGAGGTCAATTTGCATTTATATTAATTCTATTATAATGATAACGGAGTGTTCAACATTCAAGATATTAACAATGTATCCGGACAACATGCAATACAAATACAAAAACGTTCTATAGAATACTTTTCAAGTTAAAGTGTAAAGTAATTCAAAATTTTTGCTTTTTTTTTAACAGAAAATATAAAATGAGACCATAACTGTCCCTATGATTATTTTACCGAGGACATACGGACACCGTACGGGGTTAGGAACGATTTGGATAGAGATAGAGGAAAGCACTATAGTGAGCCATGGCCTCACCTATAAAATACCCTACATCACATCGCCTGATACAGTTGTTCATGCAACGACTTGCCAAAATAAGGCACTATATGAGCAATGGTTGAAAAACTTGCGCGATCCGA